TTTTATTCTTTTTTTTTTTTTAAATTTTCTTCCTACTTTTCTTTGGTTCCCACTCCTCGCCCCGGTCCCCAGCGCTGCAGACCCGGCTGGCAGGGGCGCGGCTGCGGTCACTGTCCCCCCGCCTCGCTCGTGTCGTGCGTGTGCCGCTGCGTGGGTCGCAGTCGGTGTCACCCGGGTCCGGCCGGGCCGAGCGGGGCTGCCGTGCRTGGGACAGCGCTGCTGTGCCCCCGGCTGGGGAGCGGGGCCCTGGCGCACCCCATCTGGAGCGGCACAGCAGGGTGACATGTCCCTGCTCCGCGGCGCTTGGTGAACAGCTGTGCTGCTGCGAGCAGAGCTCCTGCTGCCCGGCCCCCCCGCGCCCCTGGCTGGGCTCTTCGCGTCCCGCCCTGCCGGCAGCGGCTCTCGGGGCAGCAGGGCTGGCACCACAGCTCCCTCACCCCGGGTCCTTTACTGGGCACGACAATGCCCTGCCCATCCCGCTCCCAACCCCTCCGGGCTGTGCTTCAAGGAACGTACGGATGCACTTTTCTCTGCGTCCCGTTTCCAAACTCCGTTCTTTTCTGGGCCGTATTTGCAAATGCCACAGGTCTGCCAGCATTAAGGTCTCTTGTCCTCACTGTGCTTTTGAATCATACTGCTTTTGCATAGTACTGGTTCCTTCATCCCCACTTTTAAGGATCCCTCATCTGCTGCTGTTCATCCCATGCCGTGTGTCGTTGAACTCATAGGAAATATTGTGGAAAAACATACGTGCTTTTTCGTTCTTTTGAGGCATCTCCATTTTGGCTAGAAGCTGGACTATAGGATGGTCAGGCCTTTGCTAAGATTACATTTTGACACATGTCAAACATTTTACGATCATGTTCATAAACTRCTGTTGTGCAGTACAATGCCTTTTATTCAAACTATATTTTCCAGCACCACGCTGCAAAGAGGAATGTTCCCATGTGAATTGCATGGTTTTGCTGCAAGATTTATATCATCCGAATTCAGATACTGAGTTCTAATGTTCACTTCTGTTTTGTAGGATTTCTAATTTTTGTAAGTAGGATCAGCGCCCTGAAGCCATCACTATATAAACTGCCACCTACTAAGGGCTGTTGCTTGCCTGGTCCTGCTTGAAGAGCATTGCTGTGAAATCTTTCTGAGAGCAGCATCTCTTTGGCATAGTAAGTACTAATGGTGTGAGGTTATTAGACCCATGTATTACTGCTTATGTTTTTGCTCAAAGCCAAATAAATTTATTTGTAAAATTACCTCTTTGATTAATGCAACATCTATCTTTTAATTAAGTTACATACCATTCTCTAGAACTGCTTACAGTGAACCAGTTAGGTGGCTCTCTGACTTAGCATGGKTGTGCTAAAATCTGGGATAAAGCAAGTTTACTTATTAGTGCATGGTTTATGTAGCAGATGGTTTTCATCTAGCRTAGCTTTCCTAGTGATACCTTTAAATTAATGTAGGTCTAAAATGTTGCAGATTTTGCACTCCCCACTAACTCTCTGGAAAATCTGTTCAGGATAGAAAAGGGAGAGGGGCCAGGCAGAAGATTACTGACAGTACCTCACATGCAATAAGGAATAAGCCAAAGAATAAAAAATGGGCTTATTCTTTTGTTAATTATCTGGCTGGCTGGTCCAGCTCCCTTCAGTGTCCTGCTTTGGCCCAGTTTTGATTTTTAGGTGCAGGCCTGTRGGAATAAGATTACAAAACATTTGGCTTAATTTCACAGAAATAAAGGAGGGATTGAGAATTGGATTGGTGGGAGAAGATTTTGCAAATCTGTTCCAGGTATGGTTTTAAGCACACACACCCCACCCCACCTCCCAGATTGTAAAATTATGATAATTTGAAGTATATGTGTTTGTGTAGTATTCTTTTTGTGTTTTGTTTTTGCTCAATAGTAATATTTCATGAACATAGAGGAAGAATTGAGTCTGTACTGCAACTGGCATCTAATTTTTGGTARATCTGGCCTTCCTGTTGCCTTTGGGAAGAATACCTCAGTTCCATGGTGGAAAACCTTGTAGGCACTACTAATTTAGCTTTACCAGAGCTATTGTTATAGGTTATGTCAGCACAGGACCCACAGCATTCACAGTCCTTTTTACCTAATGTCAAGAAAAAAATTTGTAAGGTCAGGAAAGCCTAATTCCACTCAGGGTTTGGATACTGGAAGTGCAATTTAGCAAAATATGTGCCCTGCATCCCAAATGCACGTGCACCCTCACGAGTCCTGTTGAACCATGTGAGTTCCACTGAAGTTTCCCAGGTTGTTAAAACTTTGCTTCTTTATAGGCCCAGAATGAGCATTATCTAGGTTAAGCTGACTTTCTTAGCGACTGTCGCCTGCATAAACCCACCTGGGAATGACAAAATAGGTACGTGGCCAAATCTCTGGAGAGGCCTGGTCCAGGAGGTGTGCTCAAGATCATGGTTAAATGCACATTGACAGCATGGAGCTTAGCACAGGGTGCAGCATCTGGAGCTGCCAGAAAGTTCAGGGGCAAAGAGGAAAAGAACTGCTCATATGTAATTTTTCTCATGAGAGCACTTGTCCTGGAAGTGAGAGATGCAGATTCAATGTTCTCCTCATCCGAGGTGATATAAGCTCCCTCCTGCTTGCAAAGTAATCCTAATGACCAGAGATAAGGCTAAGGTGGAGGACACCCACCCATCCTGTTCGAGCTTGCCACAGTAAAGAAGCATGCAAATTTCAAAGGGCCGGAGGGATTATAATTAAGAGGGAGCCTAACACTGTAGCTCAGGGGTAAAGGCATCTCCTGGATGGCAAGAAGCCTGAACTCAGGGCCTGCTGCCTGGCAGACTCACACTTTCTTGAGGTTGAGGTTCATCTCACCCTATCTTAGCTATTTAGAGTTTTTATGTCTCATCTCTCCATAGTCAGTGGGAAGAGAAAACAAGAGACACCTGCAGAGAGTGATTCATTCTGTGCCCATCTGACACCTCTCTCAGGATGGAGTGAATCTCCTCRCTGGGGGCCGTTGCTCTCCATCAGTTCTCAGCAGAAGCCAGACAACCAATTACAGCCATTATAGATGCCAAGTGAGGTGGATTCCACTGTGGATGACTAATTTTTCTGATTCATCACATCTGAATTTAGTCTTTAAAATTTGGGTATGTAATCAGTTGTTTGAGTTCTGTCTCTGTATCRTGGTCATTCCTTCCATTGGAAGGCTGGACATGAATAGCTGGGGTGAAATGTCTTGGGATGAATTATTGCTGAGCCTGTAGAGCCTAAAGGCCATGTGCTCATGCGTGTCCCTAATTTGCTTCGTGAATCCTGGTGCAAGGTGTCTGAAATGTAAGTGTGGAGCTATTAAATGTAATTTTGTGAACTTCTTTTGTGGATGTTCTAAGTGACTAGAGGCACTACATACTGCTTTTAAGGGAGAAGCTTAAATAAAAATTGTTTGAAGATATTRTAGGGCTACAGTTGGGATTTTCAGAGAGCTGAAAGGCTCCTTATTTAAATCAAAGAAAGGGAAGTACTAAGGAAAATGGACTAGGTGTATACTGAATTTTATGTGCTTGAATACCCAGAAAAATCTGTCTTTGACTTCTAAAACTAGAGATTGGAAGCCTTTAAAAATATCACCTTTAATACTAGTCCTGAAGAGATGAACCTGTAATTTTCATTTTCAAAAAGCTRTAGTTTTTAAATTTGTGATAATGTGGAATAGTGCTGTGGTGTACTGCAGGATAAATCCCAACTATGTACTTCATTGTTTCATCAGAGATCAGCAGAAGGTCACCCAGCCTTCTTATCAGATTACTGGAGTGCAAGTGTTTTCTGTGCTGGTCTGATTTTGGTGCACATATATTCTTTGCAAATGAATGATTTCAGGAAAAGACAAGCTATGTGTTTTTCTAATTTAATATTTCTTAAAGGCCACCACAGGCTTATTGTCCAGTCATTTTGCAAATTTTAGATTGTGGAAACAATTGAGGAAAAGAATTGTCYAGTTTGGCAAAATTACAGTATTATGTTCTCCTGAGCTACAAATACARTTGGAGATGATGCCACCACATTGTTCATGTCAATCACTTTATAAGGCTGAATGCCTTTAACTATTCCAAACACATGGTTGAGAAACCCTTTTATTTCTTTTATCAAAATACTGAYGATATATGTTTAATTTTGACAACGTAAAAGTAACTGGGAATGGACTAAAAATTAAATTATTTAAAGCCTCAAGCTAKTGTTTACAGCAAAGGCAAGACATCTGAAAACATTAAAAGGATGCACAAACTTGTTAGAATACTTTGAGCCAGAACAAAACAGCTTGTTTATACCTAGCTGAGGATCTCAGCTATTCTCCATTGAACAATCAGAATTTGGACTTTTAGCAGTTTGGTTTTTTCCCCGCCTTATCACTCTGTTTTCACKTCATTAGCGATAGTTTTGTGTTCCTTATTCCCTTTCACAGGTCTCTTGGTTCTGGAGATGGGATTCACCTCACTTGATTTATGGCATGTGTCTCGTTGATGTCTGCATCTAAGCCTGCCCTCAAAGACTCACTTTAGAGACAATTGAGAAAATCATTGYTTCTGTGATGACTTATTTCTACCTAATTCACAAGTCTAAAAGCCTAATTCTACCCTTGATACTCCCTTGATTTCTGAGTCCAGCTGTTGTAGCCCAGGCAGCACATGGTTTAACTAGATACCCTGGCCYAGATGTGGATGGGCCATGTCAGGGTTGGTTCTCAGGCTCTGTTGGCAATTCTCCCTGTGACTTGGCACATTTGACAGGATTGAGAAGAATGAGCAGTGGCTARTAGACTTTCACCAAGAAGCTCTTCTGATTGTGGTCTGGTGGAGTGCTGGGGTTTTACAGTCCGCCACCTCTAGACTAAGTGCTTATAGTTGTAAGTTTTATGCATTTCTGCCTGTTTTTATCTGTGCAATCTTCACTATGAAGCATTCCTTTGTGGCATGGATGGGACTTACATGGTGTCCCGAGGGAGTGCACTTGAGCTYGCCCAAAAAATGGGCGGGGCAATGAGTGGGGAGGAGGGGATGCAGCACCACACAGGGCGAGGGAGGTTGCTTTCTGTGGAAACCTTACCTTGGTTGTTGTAGAAGGTACACAAAGAAGGAAGATGCTCAAAACAGCTGAATTATGTTGTGGAGGACTTAATCCATGTCTCTGCCACAAAGGTTTTTTTTTTTATGTGAGATGATGGACAAGTCATTTAGAGCAGGCTTGTGCCAGGTGACTGTTAATCCCATGAGAAGTCAATGAGAATTGTCCTTAAAGATCTAAAATGTGATGAAAACACCCCTCTGAAGTAACAGATCCCACTGATCACAAGTTTGGCAGACAGAACTAGAATTAATAGCCAGTACATTTTCTGACCAGCTGCTTCACATATGACCATTGGTTTAGAGATAACAGTTGTTTGGTTTTTGGTTTTTTTTTTTTTGGTTTGTTTTTTTTTCTTTTGTTTTGGGTTTTTTTTGTTTTTTTTTGAGGGTAGGACAAAGTATATTTTAATAAATGTAGGAAAAGATTCTGGGATAGCAGAAGTAATAATTACAATCAGGGACATTCTGTTGTCCTTTCCATCATTTCAGGGTCCATAGAGAAATTTCACTTCCTGCTCTCCAGCTGGGAACTTGCAAGGTGGTGCAGTGACAGTAGGGTGACTACCAGAGAGCAGAGAAAGTACCAGTCACAGCTGGATGAGGACTTGGAGCAGGAACAAGGAAATCTAAGGATTAAAGGAGGACAGGGGAGAGGGAGAATTCAAGTTTTAGATCTCTTCATCCATTTAGATTTCTTTCATTTGAAATGTCAAGCTAAAATAAGCAACACTATCCAGAAAGTGAATGCTTCTGAAGAAGTTTCTTGTATTTATGTCTCCTGTTAGGACAGCTTGTKAGGTGAATTGTGGTGATTTTAACCCTAGCTAAATCAATTTCCTAAGTTATGGGTAGCATAGGATCTGGGTTGATTGAATGAGGTGCTTATAATCCTCACATAAGAAACACTCCAGAAGTGGTCATTTGGGACATTCCCCTGGTGCAATGAAAATTCTAAGTTGCAGTCTGAACTGGGAAGAATGGGAAATGAAGCTTTAGTTTTTGTCAGGCCTTGAAACATCAGACCACTTCTTTGAGAATGTCCTGAAAAAATCTT